TATACCGCTTGCTTAATTTGTATTCTCCCACATTCTAATGAGAACACATTCCTTTTATGTTTGAGCTACTTTTATTTCCTTTCTTTAAAAAAAAAGATTTATTTATTTATGCATATAAGAACTGGGGTACAGGACAGAGGTAGGGGGTGGATTGGAGAGAGTGGTGAGAGGATTCATCAGAGACAGAGTGGGGCAGAAGAGGCAGATTGACTGAAATACACTGCTGAGGGGAGCAGCCAGCAGGACAGGAGAGGTCCGTGGTGCCATGTGGGTCACCTCTCTGTCAGGGATAGAATTCATGCTGCAGTGGCTGCAGCTGCAGAGGGCTTTGTGGTGCTGAGACTTAACCCCTTGCATACCAGGGAGACACTTGATTCACTTTCTACCTATCCATCTGCTTATATCCTTTGCTAATCTGGTTTGTTCGTAACCTTATTGATTTGAAGGAATTCTTTCTGTGATGGGTTTTAATACTTTTGTAGCATATATATTGCAGATATTTTCTCTCAGCCTAGCTTGTCTTTTGTTTCTAATTTGCCATAAAGTTATGGTTTTAATATCAATACTTAATACCTAGGTTATCAGTTTTATTTGTTGTGGTTTGTGTAGCTTATTGATAATTATATTTCATATAACTTGTTTGAAAGCTGTTGGTAGACATGAATTTTGATTTTCCATGAAAGAAAGGTAAAAATCATCAAAATGTTTCAGCTTTGTCAGTTTATCTGCTGGCCTTAGGCTATGTTCTTTTATTTATTCCACTATGGTACTACATTATAAAAAAAATGGTAATACATGAACATAGTAAAATAATTTAACAGGTCAAAAGAGCATAAAATGGTGAATAAAAATATATCCCTTGGTTCTTCTACTCAAGGTAATAGGAAAAAGGATTTTGTGCACAAAAATATAGCTTCTGTGATTGCCATAATGAATTACCACAAAACAGGTTGATTCAAATAGTAGAAGCATATCCCGTCATGGTTCTGGAGACTAGAACTTCAAAATCAAGGTGCTGGCACAGCGGCCAGATTCTGGTGGTTCCAGTGCCAATCTCTGCCTTCTTTGCACACGGCCTGCTCCCCTCTCTCTGTGTCTTGCCTCGGTGTGTCTCATCAGGCGTTTGGTGTAAGGCCCCACTGCTACCAGCATGCAGCGGGGCGAAAATGATGGTACTTCTCTCGCAGCGCTTTTATGAGGGTCACATGAGTTCACACTTGCAAAGTACTCAGAACAACCCCTAGCAAGAAGATAACCCATGGAAACATCTGGAAGACCAGATTTAATGCAAATGACGTCACACTCCCCAAGCTGTTCTGCATCTTGCTTTTCTAAATCTCACAGTATACCTTGGTCTTCCCACTTCTGCAAATGAAAATGTAGGACTCAAATATTCCTTATTATAATGACTTCTCTTCTGTGTCAATCGCTATTCCAACCACTTTATACTCATTATTTTCCCTAAAAAAGCACATCCATGTTATGGATGAGGAAATAGAGACTCACTGAGGTTCGGCACTGCCTGGCGGCCCCACGGTTGGTAAGCCGCAGCGAGTGAAGACTGTACCCTCTCTTTGTTCCTCTGCTATGCTGTCTTCCGTTACCTGATGCTATGGGGTTTGTCCTCCGTAAAGACATTTCTCGGAATTATAATGTCCCAACAAAAATAGTTTCCTTGTTCTCCAGCATACCCTGCTGAACATATTTTGTAAGTCACCCTGCAACATCGCCCATCGGTGCTGTGTGTGTTTTAACTATTTTAGTCCAGCGTTGCTTAAAATTCCCGAGAAATCACAGATGACCCCTTTTTCCTCCACCTGGCCCAAAGCTGGCTTGCTGAGGTCACCAAGACCCGCTGCCCTCTATCTCCTTTTGCCATTCAGTTTTTGCCTGACCCTCCCAGACCTAAGACTTCCTGTTAGGTTTGATGAGTAAAGACATTGTAAGAAGCCAACTAGGGCCCTCCTTGGTGGCACAGCGGGTTAACGCACAGTACTGAGAAGCTAGGGCCACTTCTGCATGAGTTCGATTCCCGCCTGCCCTGGAGGTGACCGCATGGCGTGGCAGACCTCTACTGACCCGCCCGCTGCTCCCCTCAGCAGTGTACTTCGTCGATCTGCCTGTTCTGCTTCCCACTCTGTCTCTGGTGAAGCCTCTCACCGCCCCTGACCTCTGGCCTGTACCCAAGTTCTGTATGCACAAATAAATAAATATTTTTTTTTAAAAAGAAGCCGGCTAACCCCTCCAGAAAGCAGAAGTGATGATTCCGCAGATACTGTAATCTGTTATGGGCCCAACAGTCGGACCTTAACTGGAGTTTTGTACAGATGAGATAATGCCAGACTCTGAGGAATAAATCATAGAATGATTAAATGGATTATTTACTTCATAGTTAAATGAATTACAGAACCTCAGTTAAGTCTGAGGAAAGTCTTGGAAAAAGTTGTCCTGACTGCCTGAAGTATCTGGTTAATTACACACTGGTTTTGATAACAACCTCTAGTGATATTCTGAAATTATTCTAAATGACAGCTTTGTATGCATAAATAAATAAATCTTAAAAAAATAAAAAAAGAATCTTAGATAGACCTACATTTATTTCAAAGCATCTCATCCAGCTAAAATATTACTCCAAAACTGATTGATAATAGTACTTGAATTATTTTATAAATGTTGACTAAAGTAATAAAGGAAAACAAAGTTCAATAACTTTGCACACAGGTGACAATTTCATATTCAGATTTTGAGGACTTTACCCATAAAGATTATCTTAGGAAAAAAATACCTCTTTGTATTACCCTAACGTGAAAGTTTACTGAATTTAATAATAGTTTAGTCTGTAGCCCAGGGAAACTGCTGCCTCACAAGCTTTTGCACGTGACACAGCTAAAAGGAAATGTAGGCGTCATTCCAGTGAGGTCCAAAAGATGGCGTGAAACCATCTCTACGGCACTGAGTTACTTATTTACCCCACGTTTAGAAATTATTTTCTTCTGAGAAGGAAATCTTGGTAAGTAAGAAGCCTTTTGCACCTTTTCCAAATTATGAAATGACTTCAAGTAAGCAGGAGAGTGGTAATAATCATATGGGAATAGGGAACATTTCTTTGGAATTTTGAAAAAATGTGTATCATTTCCTTAGCGTTGAAAATATACCCTTGAGTTTACGAGTAAGATAACAAGTAGGGTGTGTATTTATGGCATTCTTGAAAAAGCATAAAGATAACCAATACTCAGAGTTAAAGAAAAATAATATAACTGATGTCTTTTCTTCTGCTTTCATTTACTGTGCTTTCTTTCACCTTTCTCTGCTTCCTTGTTTTTAGTGACATTTATCAGTCAATCGGTAGCTTACAGTGAGAAGCCGCCGATCACTTGCGAAGTGTTTTTATAGTGGGCGTGAGTGTTTGTTCCCCCGGGGCCCCATGGGAGTAGAATTAAAAAGAGAAAAAAGTCACTAATTTATAAGCATTTGAAAGCAATGCTATTAGTATTTTTAGCCCAAGCACCTAGCACAGAGTTGGCACACAGCACATTCTGAGTGTCGGTTGGACACCATGGAGGAAGTTAACAGGGACCCGCCTTTCTCTTTGCCACTCACATAAACTCTGACAATGTTTCTCTTGCACATTTGTTGACTTTAGTACAGAATCATGTTTTCCTCATTTGCTGGTTTTCTGTTTTTCCCTTTCTTGTATTTTTAATTTCATAGATCCTATTCATTATTGTTTCTTTCTTGGAAAAGTTTCTTAAACCCCCATCTTTTTTCATGTTTCATTTGCTGACTTAAAGGAAAAAAACAAACTTTCCTTTTTTTCTCTTCTAACTTCCTTAAAACTTTTATCTCTATTTTTTCTTTTTTAAAAAAGTTGTGGACTCCCTAATCTTCCCCTTTTTTTATTCCTCTCCTACTACATTTTTCTTAAATTTAAACACTCCTAGCTTCTTTGTTAACTATACACGTTAGGAATAACTTGGGGACATGCAAATACCCCTGGAAGAATACTTGTGTTTTGGGAACCTGGGACTTTGTTTTAAAGACAGCTATCTAACTTTCTCACATGGTAGCTGAATTTCAGCCCCCTGAATGCAAACACCACAGTCAGTCTCTAAGTAGGTTCTCACCTTGAATGTATCAGAATCATGTAGAAGTTCTTGCTATATATGCTTACATTCTACATTATATAAGTCTGTTTCTTTAAATGTAAAATATTCCTATATTAGTATATGTCAAGGCAATGTTTTCAGTTTTTAAAAGATGTGCAAAATTGAAAATTCTGTAAATATACAAAAGTACCAGAAAGCAATTAAATGATTCAGAGATTCAACGATGACCACTATTAGCATTTGTTATAGTTCTTCCCATTCTTTTACCCTTAAGTTTTGTGTATACAGTATTTGTAGACATAGCTTTACATATGCACTACATACACGTCTACATTCTTTTGTTCATTTACCATTATATTCAGAGATTTTTTTCCTCCAAAAGGCAATATTTGAGGCAAGATGTTATTCCATGTCATGGCCTAATTGATTAAATTATTTTTACACTAGATCTATGAGTTTTTCTATTTTTCATCATATTATGAGCATCCATTTTAGTCACTTTTAAGGTATAATTTTTATATTTCTATAAATCCTGAGAAGTGAAAATGCTAAAATAAGGGTAAATATATTTTAATAAAATTACATGAATGACCAAATTACTTTTTAGGAAGGTTGTGCTTATTTTCTTTCCTGCCACTAGTGAGAGTTTGAATATTCCTGGAGTCCCTTGTAAAATATTAGTTGGCCATTGCAGATGGGTTTATTTCTTGGATCTTGATTCTGTCCTATTGGGGTATGTGTCTGTTTTGTGTCAATACCACATTTTTTTGATCATTATAGTTTTATAATATAGTTTTTAGTCAGTACCTGTGATACCTCCATATTTGTTCTGTTTGAGAATTGATTTGACTACAAATTTTAGAACTGTTTTCCTATACTTGTGAAAAATGTGGTTGGAATTTTGACAGGTAGTTGTTGCTAGAATTGATATTTCAATGTTAATTCTCCTGATCCATGAAAGTGGCCTATTTTCCACTTGAGTCTTTTTCAGTTTTTTTTTTTTAATCTAGGGATTAGTTTCATGTATAGGTCTTTCACATCTCTAGCTAAAGCTATTCCTATATGTTTTATTTTTTTGATGCAAATATAAAGGGGGTATTTTATTTATTTTTCAGAGAGTTTGTTTTTAGTATATGGAGAACAAAACTGATTTTTTGTATATTTGTTTTGTGTCCTACAACTTCACTGAATTTTTTTTTATTAGTTCTAGCAAATCTTTAGTGGAGTCATTGGATTTTCTACATGTTAAGGTCATCTGTAAATAGATAACTTTATTTATTTCTAATTTGGATGCCATTTATATCTTTTTCTTACCTAATCCTCTAGCTTAGTATTCTCATTTTCAATAGGAGTGGTGGGAGTTTCAGTCACATATGTGGGCTTCTGTGTCTGTGTCCACTCCATTCCCTTAACATCACTGTCCTGAACATCACTATCTACAGTCTGCTGTAACACAGTGAGAACTGCGAGACCCTGGGAAGAAGTGTTACCATTGACATACAACAGCTTTAGCCTGACATAACTTCTGCCTTCTTCAATGTACATTTACTATTCCCCTCTTCCCTCCCATCTTGTCAGTATGTGAACTATAAGAACTTGATGCTTTCAGATATCAAGTGTTGAATCTTGTCTCTAGAATCCTTGTTGCTTCTGGTTCAACGTGAATTAGTAAAATACATTTAAATAAGAATTGTGTCAAAAATTGAAATCTTTTGTCTAAAAAAATTTCCAGAGCTTATGTTTTGCCTCAATGACTTCTTTCTGAGGAGAAGTTAAATATTGGATATTTTATTATATCATTATATGTATTATTACATTATTATCTTGAAAATTATAATGTGGTAATTTTGCAAGTATTATAATTCAACAAGCAGTGCTCAGGAGACTACTCAAGTCTTAAGAATATTCTCAGCAAACACTTGGAATAACACGAAAACCACTGAGTGAATCTCTGAGATCAGTGAAAACATACAACCACAATTCTTTGATAATACGGACTATATATATTGCCTCCTTCTGCATCAGCAAACTGCGTAAGTGGGGGAAAATATCACATTAAACTCGGAAAAGAGAAATGACGTTGATGTTAAATAAGGAACCCATTGAAATTTTGTGTTTAATAAATGGAGGTTGAGAATAACCACTTGATATTTTTTCTTAAATTTTTAAAAATCGCAGTAACATTGGTTTATAGCAATCCAACCCTTATATGCCTTAATGTCTATTGTATTTCTAGAATATAAACTCATATTAAGATGCTCTGAAGAATAGCGACCTTTTGAGGGACAACTACTTCAACATCATGACCAAAGACAAAGAACTTATTTTGAGAAGATTTCATTTGGTTTGCATTGTGATCTTAATAGCTGGAATCATAATCCAATTTTCTGATGAAAGTGAGTTTTCAGTAGGCATGTCAAAAAGCGAGCTTACTCATATTCCAAGAGACTTGTCACCCAAAACCAAAGTTTTGGATCTGTCTCAGAACTACATATCTGAAATTCATCTCTCTGATATCAGCTTACTCCTAGAGCTGAAAGTTTTGAGGCTTTCCCATAATAAAATCCAGTACCTTGATTTTAGTGTTTTCAAGTTCAACCGGGAGTTGGAATATTTGGATTTATCTTACAATCAAGTGCAGAAGATTTCCTGCCATCCAGTTATGAGTCTCAAGCATTTAGACCTCTCATTCAATGACTTTGATGCCCTGCCCATCTGTAAGGAATTTGGCAAGCTGACACAACTGCATTTCTTGGGATTAAGTGCTACAAAGTTAAAACAATTAGATCTGTTGCCAATTGCTCACTTGAAGCTAGGCTACATCCTTCTGGATTTAGAAGGCTATTATGTGAAAGAAAATGAGATTGAAAGCCTTCAAATCCCTAGCACAAAAACACTTCATCTTGTTTTTCATCCAAATCGTTCATTCTCTGTGCAAGTGAATATATCAGTTAATATTATAGAATGCTTACAACTGACTAATGTTAAATTGAATGACAGCAACTGTAAAGTTTTAATTAAGTTTTTATCGGAAATTATTAGAGGTCCAAACTTATTGAATTTTACCCTAAACCACATGGAAACAACTTGGAAATGTTTAGTTACAGTTCTTCAATTCCTTTGGCCCAGACCAATAGAATACTTGAATATTTACAATTTAACAATTGTTGAAAACATTGAGAAAGAAGATTTTACCTATTCTAAAACAACATTGAAGGCATTGACAATAGAACATATTGCAATCAGAGTCTTTATTTATTCAAAGTCAGCATTATACACAGTGTTTTCTGAGATGAATATTATGATGTTAACAATATCAGATACTCCGCTTGTACACATGTTTTGTCCTCAGACACTAAGCACATTTAAGTTTTTGAACTTCACCAATAATGTTTTCACAGACAGTATTTTTCAACATTGTTCCACTTTAGTTAAATTGGAAATGCTTATCTTACAAAAAAATGATTTAGAAAGTCTTTTTAAAATAGGCCTCATGACAAAATACATGATATCTTTGAAAATACTGGATGTTAGCTGGAATTCTTTGGAATATAATATACATGATGGAAACTGCACTTGGGTTGAAAGTATAGTAGTATTAAATATGTCTTCGAACCTACTGACTGACGCTGTTTTCAGATGTTTACCTCCCAATGTGAAGGTCCTTGATCTTCACAGCAACAGAATAAGGAGCATCCCAGAGGATGTCAACCATCTGGAAGCTTTGCAAGAACTCAACGTGGCTTTCAATTCTTTAACCCAGCTCCCTGGGTGTGGTGCCCTGGACAGCCTTTCTGTCCTGATCGTTGACTATAACTCCATCTCCAGCCCACCTGCCGATTTCTTCCAGAGCTGCCAGAAGATGAGGTCCTTCAGAGCAGGGAACAACCCGTTCCAGTGCACGTGTGAGCTAAGAGGATTTATCCACAGTGTAGGCCAGGTACCAAGTGAAGTGGTGGAGGGCTGGCCTGGTTCCTACGTGTGCAACTATCCAGACAGCGCCAAGGGCACCCCACTGAAGGACTTCCACGTGTCTCCTCTGTCCTGCAACACAGCTCTGCTGACTGTCACCATTGTGGCCACCGTGCTCGTGGTGGCCATCTCTGTGACCGTCCTCTGTGTCTACTTGGACGGGCCCTGGTACCTCAGGATGGTGTGCCAGTGGACCCAGACCCGACACAGGGCTAGGCACGTACCCTTAGAGGACCTCCAGAGAACTCTCCAATTCCACGCTTTTGTTTCATACAGTGATCATGACTCTGCCTGGGTGAAGGGTGAATTACTGCCAAATCTAGAAAAAGAAGATATACGGGTTTGTGTACACGAGAGGAACTTTGTTCCTGGCAAGAGCATTGTGGAGAACATCATCAACTGCATCGAGAAAAGTTACAAGTCCATCTTTGTTTTGTCTCCCAACTTTGTCCGGAGTGAGTGGTGCCACTATGAGCTCTACTTTGCCCATCACAATCTCTTCCATGAAGGATCTAACAACTTAATCCTGATCTTGCTGGAACCCATCCCTCAGTGCAACATTCCTAGCAAATATCATAAGCTGAGGGCTCTCATGACACAGAGGACTTATTTGGAATGGCCCAAGGATAAGAGCAAACACGGACTCTTTTGGGCTAACATCAGAGCTGCTTTTAATGTGAAATTAAAGCTGGTTACTGAAAACTGTGATGTGCATATGTTAAAAATGTCAGAAGATCCAACTTAGACACTGTCATTTACTTACATTCTGATGGACACTGAACCAGTGTTTAGTTACTGTCTGGACAGTGTCTGCCTATGTCCACATGTTCAGGAAAGATTAAAAAAGCTGTTTTTCAACTTAAGGTTACAGATAACTGATACTTCTGGTTAATTAATTAATTCTGTCTTTTTTTAATAAACACTCAGTCATTCAAGGACTTTTCCTCATCTTTCCCTTCACAAATGGCATCTGAGGAGTGTTGTTTTTTTTTTTTAAGATATATTTATGTGCACAGAACTGGGGTACAGTCCAGTGGTGCAGGGACAGTGATTCACCAGAGACAGAGTGGGGAGCAGAACAGACAGATCTACTGAAATACAGTGCTGAAGGGAGTAGTGGGCGAGACAGGAGAGGTCTGCTATGTCATGTGGGTCACCTCCCTGACTGTGGATTGAACTTGTGCTGAAGCTGCTGTGGCTGGCTTCATAGTGCTGTGCTTTAACCCGTTGTGCCACCAGGAAGGGCCCGAATTCTGAGGAGTTTTAAGGGACTGAAGGACAGCAAAGACTCCGCCCCCAGATCCTATCCGCTGGTCCTTGGGGGGCCCTATGGCTTTTCATTGACCTTTAGGTGAGTACTTCATCCTGGCCAATTTGGGGCCTGGAAAAAATGAGATCTGTTGTAGGAAACAAAGAAGTAAGCTTTTTTCTTTCACATCTGAGCACTTAGTAAACTTTTGATCGTGCTACACAAATACTCGATTAATGGAGACCTGCAACATAGCCATTGATGAATATAAAGGGAAATACAGATTTCAGTCCAGAGGTTGTTGAGGTCAAAGACATGAATTTATCCATTTGCCAAGGAAAACCAAATTTATTTGTTTGTTTGTTTTTTAGATTTATTTATTTATGCATACCGACCTGGGGTATAGGCCAGAGGTTTAGGAGTGGTGAGAGAATTCACCAGAGACAGAGTGGGGAGCAGAACAGGCAGATTGCTGAAGTACACTACTGAGGGGAGCAGCGGGAGGGCCAGGAGAGGTCTGCTGCACCATGTGTGTCACCTCCAGGGTGGGTGGGAATCGAACTCATGCTGAAGTGACTTTAGCTTCTTAGTGCTGTGCTTTAACCCGCTGTGCCACCAGAGAGGGCCCAAAACCTGTAATTGGTTATCTAATGAGACTTTCCTGATTATCTCTGAATTTTGGGTAATGCCTCAAAACTGACAGAGATGGTAAAATGACAGTCACATTTTTAAATTGAAATGTTTGTTACAAGCAAGATAGATGTACTAAAAAAATAGCAGAGACTAGTAGCTATCAGGCCATATCATCCATTTCCAGAAGACTAGATTCAAAGGGTGGTGAGAGAGTCATTAAGTAGCGGTTTTAGACTTATGGGGAGAGGCGTTGGATTTCTTCCAGAGAGAAAGATGAGGGGTCTGTTCACAGAGTAGAGAAGTAGTCTGAGGCCTGACTCCCAGCCTGGAGGTTTACCAAATAGCAGGGATACAAAGGTCTGGTGTAGCATGTGGGGTAGAAGGTAAGAGCTTTGGCAAGAGTTTGATAGGCACACCCAGGGGAAGGGCTGAGCATTGTGAACACAGAGACTGGGAAATAAAACTTGGCAAATAGAAGTGCTTGAGAAATAGGTGTTGAATGAATGGCTAAATGCTTCCCACCTGGAGAATTTCAAAGGTAAGAGGTTGGATTGGGCAGCCCAAAGTGGCAGGAAGAGGAGAGAAGAGAAGCAGTGATTACACCTCCCCCCCATTAATGGGGGAGCATGTGCATTTCCTGTGGTCCGTGCTCACCATGGGCAGGTGACTAGGCTGAAAAGGACTCAGCTCACTGGGCAGCTGTGCAAAGGAAGGGTGGCGGGAGAGGTCATGGGGCCGGGGGAAGTGGTGTACAGTGAGTGCAGAGGGTGTCGGTATAAGAGAGGTGCCTGCATATGTGGGATCCACTCACAGCCCATGAATGATGATGTATTTGTGGAAGGGCCAAAATTTATTTGGACTGTGACCTAATAAGAAGCAGAGACATCATGGCTGGTCAACTTATCCAACAGTAAACTGCAGGGAATTTGGCTCCTCACTGTCTAATACATCTTCCCCACAGTGGTCTGAGGACATCTGGAATATGAAGACGAGAAGATGGAGGGAGGAAAGAAAATGACCCGCTCCTTCTCCACTTTACTGTGTAAAAGGCCCGAGGTAGAGTCAAGCAGAATGTTGAGTATGTGTGAGACCCCTGCTAAGTTGGACTGGTTTTTGTGACCAAACTAGCAATGTGAGTGTATCAGAGGCATCTCCATCAGAGGGAGAGGTACCAGCATGTTCTACCCCCATTTACCCGCAGACCCCCCTGGACTGGGCACTGGGTACTGGGGGGTGGGGCTGAGCAGCCAGGTGAAGCTCTGGAACATGGAAGGCAGGTGCACATGTGGAGGAGAAGGCAAGCTGGCTTCTCAGTTTTGGGTTTATATGAGGGATTTTGGGGCAGACACTCGGAAGAGAGACATGGAGAAATATTTGGAAGAGATGTGGATGAGAGACACGTGGGCAGGCTGATGACGGCAGCAGTTACTGTGATTTGTACTTTCATTTTGCTCCTTTGTCCCTAACAGGTGTGGGCCCTTTCTCTGGTTCCCTGCCAGAGATGCCTTAGACTTGTGTCAAGCCTTTTGGGTCTCAGTGGCTGCACTTCACCTGACCCTGTTCGGCTGGGCATTTACCCATAAGGGGCTGGGTAATTTTGCTTTATTGGAAAACTATTATTAGTAATATACATATGCTTTCTTCTCCTCTCTCTGAAAACCAACCTATTAAAGCCCTTTCACACCTTTTTCTTCGTGGGCAGGGGTGGCCAGACCCCATACAATTTTGGCAGTTCTGGGGTTCATTGTGCACTGACGCATTGACTAAAATGAGAATTGTTGCTAAAATCTATGGGATGTGGTCTCTATTCAGGGAAGGTCCATTGTTGGGAGATTCCACAAAAACCGCTATAAGGCAGTGGCTAGAGAAGAAAATCAAGTCCATTCCATTTGCACTTAGTTCATTCAACAAACTATATTAATAACAACCATAAAGAGCTAAGCCTTAACAAAATCTTATTAGAATCACCTTCTGCCTGCATTAGCCTTCCTTGCTCTTCAGGAGACCACATAATTTTCCTTCATTGGCACCTCCATGTGGCATTCTGCCTCTGTTGGGCTGCTTCTTAAACTAAAAACAAACAAACAAACAAATAACAGCCCAGAAACCAAAAAGCAAAATCTGAAAGAAACAAAGAGCAAACAACAGTAACAACCTATGTCACACTTTCAAAATATTTTAAGTGGTTTCACTGAATTTGAAGATGCTGAAAATAGAAATTCTCGACATTTTAAAATAGAGTTAAACACAATCTACATTTTTTGGCCATACATGAAAACATATTCATTTCAGTCATGAAAGTTCCATCATAAGAAAGGATGTCCTTTTTTAGATAAAGGTTTCTTATCTCTAGACATTTTCTATTTTCTTTGTTGAATTCTTTTGTTTGCAAGAAGCAAATACCAACTTGAGAAAGAGGATATTTGTTTCAGGGACAGCGAGTGTCTCATAGAACTTAAAAGCAGGGACACAGCTGAGCAGAGATGATGAACCCTTCAAACCTATCTCTAATCTCTTCCAGACCAATTAGCTGTGGCAGTGGTAAGGACAGGCATAATAGAGATTGAATGCCGGGAGGGTTGGGGCAGCTTGCCTCATGGCCATTATCAAGGCTGGAAGTCCAAGGTCAAGGTCACGGTGTCCGTCGGTCTGGTTTCTGTGGGGCAGCCCCTGCCCCCAACCCCACTTGCCCACTTGCTGCTGGCTGCTTTCTCACGGATTCTTCCATGGCCTTTGCTCTGTGCACACGCAGCCCTGGTGTCTCTGCCTCTTCTTACATGGATATCAGTCCTATTGGCTTAGGGTCCATCCTTAGGGCCTCAGCTGATCTTATCCCCCTAAAGGTCTTATTTTCCAGCCCAGTCACATTCTGAGGCAATTGGGGGGGGGGGTGTCAGAGTTTCAACATAAAATGTTGAAGGCTACACAACTCACCCATAACAAATGACTATGCAGATATTCGATTGAAAAATGCGACAGAATTTTAGTTGTGCCAATGTCCATTCTGAAACCCCAGCTTGAGCCCCCTGCAACTTGGTGCAAATGTGTATTGAGCCCTGGGCAGTGGGATGTGGCTGGAATGTCACGTCCACTTTGGCGTGGATTCCTTTGCTCTTTCATCTTGCCACTGAGAGAGGGGTAAGAACTAGAGCATCTAGAACTCCTTCCAACGCTGTTACAGTAATTCCGTCAGACTGGGAGTGACAGGAGGCCCCTCGAAGGCAATAACTTTTGAGCTGGCAACAAGCTCCAGGAAAAGACAAGACCACAGAGGGGATGGCAGGTGTGGAGGGAATCTATATGGTACCTCTAGGGGACAGTCAGAGGGCACTTGTGGCTGGAGTATGATGGGCAAGATGAGGGGGACGGAGGTGCAGAGGTAAGTTCAGAAGCGAAGGCAGGCTGACTGTGACAGCAGATCACAACCAGTAGCTCAACTTTTGTAAGAGGACATCACACATTCAACGATATCCCCACAACCATCAGACTAATTGTGCAGGCATGATGACTGATGAAATGAAAAATAAGGCACCCTTGTCCTTGAGGAATCCTGTGCCTTCTTCATAAGAACCCTGACATTTTATATTTGTGAATTGCCACACAAAATCCGGCCCCTCTCCTGAGGCAGAAGTTTATCTAGATTTGAGCAAATCGGGAAGGGATTCAGAAGCCTAAGTGGCAGCTCTGAGAACCCTGACTGGCTGTGACACTGCTCACCAGACCAGGAAGCAGCCCCACCACACACACACCTTTCTGGGGCCACAGACACTGACCGTCAGGTGCTTTAAGGATGAACAGATTGATATCCTCTTCCCCACAGGTGTAGCAGCCATGACTTGACAAATGAGGGGTTCAGAACAGTAGTCTCCTTCATGATGCCTCAAACCATCGAGCCCTGTGTCTACTGGGGCGGGGGAGGCGACTGGTTCTTGCCAGCAGGGCTGGGAGCTCTCTGTCGATGGTGGAAGGAGAGGGACTGGAGATGCTGAAAGAGACTGTACAAGCCTCAGTGAAGGTCCATCCTCAAATTTCAAGATCAGATTGATAAAATGGTAAAAGATATATATGCAGTTCTGCAACTAGAGGCTGAGGAAAAGAAAGGCAGCAGTAGAAGCCCAGACGAACACAGCAAAAGGAGAGGATGAAGGGAAAAACTGCCAGTGCTCCGTCTGAGTTTGACTTGGCCTTGCGAGGAAAGAAGAAAGAACTTTATAGATGATACAAGAAAAAGGGGGAGAGGGTTGCAGAGGAAAGTTTCAAAATTCTCAAGGCACAAACATTATTCAGGTTAAATGAAATATTGGAAATTTCAAAGGAAACCATATTCTCTGACACAGGTTTTCCTTGGCTGGTTGTAAGTGTGGGTTTCTCCAGTGTTACCTGCTAGGCTATGCTGGAGGGGAAAACAAGAAAACACAGAGCAGTGGAGTGAACTTGGAGGGAAACGTCTTCAGCAGGCTAAAGTGTTTGGCTGCCCTGCGGGCCTGGCGCTCGGGGCACGAGCCCATAGGCTGGGTCCACGAGGCCTCTCACTGGGAGCCAGGGACTGCCTCTTCCTCAGCCATCACCCTTGTCTCCCATCATGGGCTAAGGAAAACAGTGGCGTGGGTGGGGAGGAGGAGGTTCGTTTTTTCACTTTCAGAAAAGTATTTATAAATGTAGTTTAGCTGTTAAACAAATTGTGAGGAGTGGAAGGTGAGGGAGCGAAAGAGACTATTAAAGTTAAAAAGAATCCCAAGACTCTTAATTGTCTGTGCCAGAAAAAATGACTACAGGAAAGAATTTTGGGAGCAGAAAAGGAAGAGTTTTATTCATCTCTACCTCTAGTTTGTATTGGACCTCACACGATCTTTGGCTGAAGACAAAGTTAGAGACTGACAGAGTTTATTAGCTTTATTTGCCTGTGTGTCATTTTTATCATTTTGGTTGTTAGGTCGAAAGACAAGAGTGGGGCTGTCAGTGGATTTCCTAACTGTACTGACCACTAACCCAAAGAAAGTATCTTAGATCTTTGCAGAGAAAAGATAATGTTAGAGAGCAGGCTTTTCACATGGAGTTAAAAAAAATCACTTTTTGGGGCCCTTCCTGGTGGTCAACAGGTTAAACACAGCTTTAGGGAGCTGGCCACAGACTCTTCAACATGAGTTCGATCCCCGCCCTGGAGCTGACCCACATGGCGTGTCAGACCTCACCTCTCCCACCTGCTGTTCCCCTCAGCAGTGTACTTCATCCATCTGCCTGTTCTGCTCCCCACTCTGTCTCCTGTGAATCCTCTCACCCTCCACCCCTCTGGCTTGTACTCCAGTTCTGTATCCATAAATAAATAAATCTTTTTAAAAAAAATCACTTTTTGAAGAAAATTTGAAAACATCAGTGGAAAAAAAATTGAGCACCAGGTTTTCTCTGAAACCTCATTTGTAAAAAAAAAATAATAATAATAATAATTAGCATTTATTGTGTGTAAGCCCATGAATGACCTTTTAGCAGAACTTTGATCTTGACCGCTTCCTCTTTCCATTGTCACCTGTTGCAGGGCCCTGATCAAAAGGAAAACAAAGTGCTCAATCCGCCCAGCCTGCTTCCACACCACCCAGGAAAGCAAGGAGCCAGACAGTAATGGCCTGTGGATTGTTAACACCACCTCCTTTGCTTCGGTCACCTGGCAAGAGTGGACTGACCGCCGTGAGATACAGAACCAAAAAGACGACTCCATGTTAATGCTGTCAGTGACCCCAGGCTCACATGTACATATGGATAGAACAGCTCTACACTTGCTGTGTAATGTCATTTTAGCAGAATTCAGTAGATGGCATGCAAGAGCCTTTCCCACACCCCATAATGTGAAATGTGGTTACCAGTGAAATAAAAGTTTCAGGAAGTACTTGAATTTCCTACAGACTACAGATGGGGTCAGATGGGAAGGTTGTCTCGGTAAGTAACATTTTCTTATTCTTTTTTTTTTTTTTTAAAGTGTCTAGTTTGCTCTTGAGTGCAAAAACCTCACAAGTCTCCGTGATTAAGTATTAGGTGTTTTTCTGAGTGATTGTTTCTGAAATATGCTTACTATGCACACTCTCCTGGCATTTGATTATCAGCTTCTCTTTGTTATCTTTTCCTTATTCAGAAAAAGGTTTTTTTGGGGGGGCAGGGGGAGGAGGTCTTTTCTTCTTGAATACCTCATTTTATGATTTTCTTTCAAGAGATATATTTGAGTTGGGAGATGAATATTTGAGTCACAAGTATCTCCTGCTACTTGTTCATTTCAGCAGATACTGCTCTGCCGCCAGCGCCTCCACCCACCTCTTTGCAGGGACAGTATTAAGGTAGAGGGGGTGGAGGTAAACTGTTCCTTAAGGCAGTGCTGTGCACAGATCATTTGTATTTTTTTTTAATTTATTTATTTGTGCATACAGAACTGGGGTACAGGCCAGAGGTGCAGGTACGGTCAGAGGATTCACCAGAGACAGCGGGGAGCAGAACAGGCAGAGTGATGAAGTGCACTGCTGAGGGGAGCAGCAGGTGGCCCAGGAGAGGTCTGCCGCGCCATGTGGTCACCTCCGGGGCAGGTGGGGATTGAACTCATGCTGAAGTGGCTTTAGCTTCTTCGTGCTGTGCTTTAACTTAAACCGCTGTGCCACCAGGGAGGGCCAGATCATTTGTATTTTATGGGCAGGATTTCTTTTCTCCTTTTCTTGGTTGATCTCAGAAGCTAATCTTTCCTGTTTTCCTTAGAGCACTGAAACTCTTCTGGGATGCTATATATCAGATGCAATTGTAGGATTTGAAAATGTTTCCCAGGCCACATTCAGTTTGTTCAAAATACTTGAAAGTGAATGCTTCTTTCTAACAATATGCAAAAGTTCCTCAAAACATAGAAGACAAACGGAAAAGATTTTGAACGGTTTCAATCCTTTCAACTTGTGGTAAATAGCTCATTAGCCTGGTGTAGAGATTTCCAGGTATGTTTCCTGAAACAGACTGACTGCATGGGTGCTATTCATTAAAACAAGTCACAGGATTTTTGAACAAAGACAGTTCAAACATACTACTGTATCATCAAGTGAAACCATCATCATCATAAGAGTTTAAAGATTTATTTATTTATACTTACAGAACTGGGGTACAGGCCAGAGGGGCAGGGATGGTGAGAGGATTCACCAGAGACAGAGTGGGGAGCAGAACAGGCCGACTGATGAAGTACACTGCTGAGGGGAGCAGCGGGCGGGTCAGGAGAGGTCTGCCACACATGTAGGTCAGCTCCCTGGCTGGGGATCGAACTCGTGCTGCAGTGGCTTTGGAGAGCTTCATAATGCAGTGCTTTAACCTATGGCACCATCAGGAAGATCCCGAGTTGAAGTATTTGTATACTATCCAATGAGAGCATTCTTTTACTAATCAACTTAGCAATATTCCTTTTACTGTAGTAAAATAGCTTTGAGTGGTAATCTAGATGAGAGTCAACGATGTTCATTCGGACTTTGATCACATAATGCTGATTTTTCACTGATTTAATACATTTAATATGGAACATATATATTTGTACAATCTTTCATTCTTAATGACAGAAGTAAAGCCGACTCATAAACCGACCACTTCAAATGAATGACAGCAAATGGCAAGGTACTGTGACAGTTTAGCAATCAGAATATGCTTGAATCAATTTGGTTAACTAGATGTAAAACTGATACCATGCTTTCATTAAACATTTGGAGACAGGCAGTTTGTGAATTTAAATTATTGGGGTGGTTGCTCTTGTAAGGAACAAGGGTAAGTTTCCTTCTTTCGGGGATGGGTTCCCCACACGCCAAGCGATCTCGTGCATGTGTGGGATCTGTCTCTGCCTTGAATTTCTCTGGTCATTTTCTGCACAAGTTGCCAGATTATGTAGCTCATTGTTTTGCCATCTGTTTGCTGGCCATGAGGTAGAAAGAGACCCAGATTTGTATTCATGTTCAGGAATAAGAAACCCCAACTGAAGCTTCAACTCAACCTACTTCTTCTACCTGGCTTTTACCAGATTGCTCTGTTTTGAGGTACTAAGTACTGGCCTAGCCAATAATTGGGCATTATTTTGATTTGCCTTTCAATATCTTCCTTCTTAATCATGCTCTCAGGAAGCTGGGGAGGAAAATTTTGAAAGGGACCTTTTAGGCAAATAGAACCAATACCACAAAATGCCACCTTTATTTGTACCATGTACTTCGGTGTCTTTGTCCTTTTCTGTGTGCAAAGTCTTCATGAATGGTGGTGAAGGGAGTGTATCAGATTTTGTCTTGTGTTTAATGAAATCAGGATAACCAAGGCATTGCTCCAAAAACTAGATAGATTTGCATGTCTGACTTGGGGAACTTTTGCAACTTGGCCTTGTTTCTGGGACTTTGAATTAATGAGATCCTCTAAACCAACTGAAAGATATGAGCAAATCTGTACAAAGAGGAACTTTATTCTTTGCTGATACTGATGGTTGGATTGTCTAACACAGTTGTAGGGGATTTTAAAGGGTCTCTGAGGGTAAGAAACCCCCCAGTTCCCTCTGGCCACTGGAATGGTAACAGGAAAATAGTGTCTGAGCTACAGTGGGTTGATAATTAATGCAGTAAGCATAACCTGAAACAATGTATAGCATTTCATAGGAAGTATTTATTTGATGAACAAATGAAAAAAATTCTTATTAAAAAGAGGAAAAAATTTCCCCCATCCTCAAAGCCTTTCACTGTTCACCATCCACTCTTATCTCTCATAAAATTCCAACTCATTGCAGTGAGACGCAGGCGCAATCATGGCCCAAACTCCTCTCATCCTAGCTTATTTCATGTAACACTGACCTCCTTACCATGCCTCAGGCCACTTTTTGAGTAAGATCAATGGCACCAAACTGTGTGTAAATAATTAAAGGCAAAGCGAGTACTGTTACATTCCTTGACTTGTGGCTATTTCATGCTAAATGCTGCCTCTGTTTTCATATGGCTTCTACTCTGTGTCTCTGTGGTCTCCTCTTTTGCCCTTGTCAAATACCCTCATCCCTTTCCTGTATAAGGATATTGTCAATGGAATTAAGGGTCGCCTGGGTAATACAGGGTGACCTCATCTCAGGATACTTATCTCTGCAAAGATCATTTTTCCAAATAAGGTCTAAGAGTCACAGTTTCTGAAGACTGTGACATGGTTGGGAGATGGACCTATATATTGACGGTGGCACCATTCAGCCCAGCGTACCATTCATATTAAAATGCATCATTATTGTTTATCAATATGTTTACCGCCCTGGTTTCAGATTGTGTGGCATCAAAAAAATTCAGTCTTCATTTTCTGAATCGCTAGTTTTAAAAAAATTGTTTTCTGTAAGTCATGCCTGATGTCAACAATCATTGACGGTTTTCTTCTTTTCCTCCCCTCTGTCTCCACTCCTCAGGATTTGTGCCTGTATCAAATACTCTGAAGAATGGCAATGTCCTTGAGCAATGTCTAACGCTACAAAATGACTACCCGCAATCCCAATCCTAGCATCTTCCATTTTGTCATCATCTTCCTGTTGATATTTGAGATAAGAATGCTATTGTCTGATGAAAGTGAGTTTTTAGTTAATAGATCAGACATGGGCCTCCTCCATGTTCCCAAAGAACTATCCCTCAAAACAACTATCTTAGATATATCACAAAACGCTATATCTGAGATTCGAACTTCTGACATCCGCTCATTATCAAAACTGAAGATTTTGATGATTTCTCATAATAGAATCCAGCATCTTGATATGAGTGTTTTCAAATTCAACCAGGAATTGGAATATTTGGATTTGTCTCACAACAGGTTGGGGGAGATTTCTTGCCACCCGACTGTGAACCTCAAACACTTCGACCTGTCATTTAATGCATTCCATGTCCTACCCATATGCACAGACTTTGGCAACATGTCTCAGCTAGAATTTCTGGGGTTGAGCGCCTCACAGCTACAAAGGTCCAGAATGCTTCCCATTGCTCATTTACACCTCAGGAAGGTTTTACTGGTCTTAGGAAATGCGTATGGAGAAGAGGAAGACCCTGCGAGCCTCCAGACCCTTAACACCGAGAGTCTGCATGTTGTCTTCCCCGCACGAAAAGAATTCCATTTCAACTTGGATGTGTCCGTCAGCAGCATGGGAAGTCTGGAACTGTCCAATATCAAGTGTGTGTTGGATGATGATAGATGTTCTTATTTCCCAAATGTTTTGCAGAAACTTCAAAGGAATCCCAAGTTATCAAATCTTCTTGTAAACAATGTTGAAACAACCTGGAATGCTTTCATTAGGATTCTCCAGCTGGTCTGGCAGACAAACACTCAGTATTTCTCAATAAAAAATGTGAAACTGCAGGGTTACCTTAGCATAAGAAATTTTAATTATTCTGGCACTTCACTGAAGGCTTTGTCTATATGCCACGTTGTCAGTGAGACGGCCACACTGCCACAGGACTTGATCTACACAATCTTCTCAAATATGAATATCCAGAACTTCACAGTGTCAAACACACATATGATCCATATGCTCTGCCCATCCCAAAGTAGCCCATTTCTGCACTTGGATTTTTCCAATAATCTCTTAACAGACATGATTTTTAAAGATTGTAAAAACCTGAAAAAGTTGGAGACACTTAACTTACAAATGAACAAACTACAGGATCTTGTGAATATAATTCACAGCACCAAGGAGATGAAGTCTCTACAACAATTGGATATTAGCCAGAATTCTCTAAAGTATGACGAAAACAAAGGAAATTGTTACTGGACTGAAAGTTTACTCATGTTAAATATGTCGTCGAACCTACTGACTGACGCTGTTTTCAGATGTTTACCTCCCAATGTGAAGGTCCTTGATCTTCACAGCAACAGAATAAGGAGCATCCCAGAGGATGTCAACCATCTGGAAGCTTTGCAAGAACTCAACGTGGCTTTCAATTTTTTAACCCAGCTCCCTGGGTGTGGCGCCCTGGACAGCCTTTCTGTCCTGATCGTTGACTATAACTCCATCTCCAGCCCACCTGCCGATTTCTTCCAGAGCTGCCAGAAGATGAGGTCCTTCAGAGCAGGGAACAACCCGTTCCAGTGCACGTGTGAGCTAAGAGGATTTATCCACAGTGTAGGCCAGGTACCAAGTGAAGTGGTGGAGGGCTGGCCTGGTTCCTACGTGTGCGACTATCCAGACAGCGCCAAGGGCACCCCACTGAAGGACTTCCACGTGTCTCCTCTGTCCTGCAACACAGCTCTGCTGACTGTCACCATTGTGGCCACCGTGCTGGTGGTGGCCATCTCTGTGACCGTCCTCTGTGTCTACTTGGACGGGCCCTGGTACCTCAGGATGGTGTGCCAGTGGACCCAGACCCGACACAGGGCTAGGCACGTACCCTTAGAGGACCTCCAGAGAACTCTCCAATTCCACGCTTTTGTTTCATACAGTGATCATGACTCTGCCTGGGTGAAGAGTGAATTACTGCCAAATCTAGAAAAAGAAGATATACGGGTTTGTGTACACGAGAGGAACTTTGTTCCTGGCAAGAGCATTGTGGAGAACATCATCAACTGCATCGAGAAAAGTTACAAGTCCATCTTTGTTTTGTCTCCCAACTTTGTCCAGAGTGAGTGGTGCCACTATGAGCTCTACTTTGCCCATCACAATCTCTTCCATGAAGGATCTAACAACTTAATCCTGATCTTGCTGGATCCCATTCCACAGTATTCCATTCCAAGCAGCTACTACAAGCTCAAAGCTCTCATGGCACGGAGAACCTACTTGGAATGGCCCAAGGAGAAGAGCAAACACGGACTTTTTTGGATTAACATAAGAGCGGCTGTTAATATTAAGTTGATGGAACAAGCACAAGAAGTAAATCATACAGAAACCTAAAAATATTCTTCTGCCTACTGTTGCTGTTCTTGGAAATTCCAACAATGACTTTACTTTTCATTAACATGAAACTAAACACAACTTTAAATTCCTGATGCAGACAAAATGTGGGCACTTTCATGTTCTAGTTCACCAGTTATATGTGGTAAAAAATGAGTGCACTGATATCATTTTGATTTAAATGGTTCATTTCTAACACAAGAGGGATTCACTTAATCTTTTGCTGGGATAGATTCATTAAATTGATGTTGTAATCAAAAGATGCCGCTCTTCCAACAACTTCTGTGGTCTCTGTTCATGTGCGCCAAGGACAATGTTAAACAAGTCCACTCCTTTACACTTCCGCCAGGTTTCCATGGCGACCTTCTGTAGCTCTGTGCCCTTACTCATTTCTACTCCACCTTCACTTTGGCAAGTTGAAAGCCGCTTACTGGTAATACGGGAGCCTCTTTGTCTGAAACAATTTCTTCCTGGTCATGAAAACCCATTTTTGGTTCCAAGAAGTGCTAGGTGTTGCCCATACAAACAATATTTCACCGATTTTGGTAAGAAAATTGGTAGATAGGGCCCTCCCAGGTGGCGCAACAGGTTAAGGCGCAGCACTGTAAGCTGGCGGCAGCTGCTTCAGTGTGAGTTCAAGCCCCAGCCCTGGAGGTGACCCACATGGTGCAGCAGACATCTCCTGCTGCCTGTTCTGCTACCTATTCTGTCACTGGAATCCTTTCAATGCCCCCTGTACCTCTGGCCTGTACCCCAGTTCTGTATGCATAAATAAATCTTTTTTTTAAAAAAAGAAAATTGGTAGATAATTACCCCACCTTTCTTACCCATTTATTTTATATCTACATTTAGGCTGTACTTTGTACTCTCCCTGAGTCCCTCAGTAGTATAGAATTCTGACTGTCTTCTCAGCAACATGGATGGATCTGGAAGGGATCATGCTTAATGAAATAAGCCAGAAAGAAAAAGAAAAATACTGGAGGGTTTCACTCATAGCAGGAGTGTAAGGGATCGGGGGGGGGGGGAGGAGTCAGGGTGAGGGAAGGCAATTGTAATAAAGGTAAAAATGAAAAACACCAAACACCTATAAACCAGAGACATTCTATGAGGGGTGGAGAGAGTAACAGGACCATAACTGGGGTGGGAAGAGCACACAGGACTACGGTGATGGCGCACGGGTGAAGTGGTGGTGGGAAGTCCACAGGGGTTACAATGGAGATGAAAATGTACAAAATGAAGAATGATGTAAAAATAAATAAATAAGTATATTTAACTAATAAAAACAAATTCTGACTGTCCACTGCAGAAGTAATTTGATAAAGCATCCTTTATTGGTTTCCTTTCTATTTCTAGTTCATGTCCTCATTCCTTCTAGGGGTTTCCTGGGATCACCTCTGAAATAAAATACTTATAACTGAATGCTTGCCTCAGTTTGGGGGAAGATGAACCAAAAGTTTGCTTCATCTCAGAGCAAATGGAAACTCTGCACGAGGTCTTTGGTGCCTAGAGACCTTGTTAGGCCTCTCCTCTGATTGGGTGTGTACAGAACATGTTTCCTTGTGATCGGAAGGAAGAATGTCTTGCATCAGCTCTACTTCTCCACACTGTACGCTTATCTCTGGGAGGACGACTCAAACACAGCGCGAACAGATTAGAGCAATGCAAGGAATCGTTTAGATCAGATACCTCTATCCACCTTTATGATCATATATTTTTCATACTCATCCCATATTCTCTGTCTACCCTTTTATTCTGGCAGCCGGCTTTGGGCAGGTGCAGTCACAGCACCTCGTCATGGTGCATGTATCTCTCACTTATGCCCCTCGGTTCACTAATGCAGGATGTTGCCCACCATGGTTATAATCAAGCATCAGCTTGAAGGTGCCAGAGATATCCCTTGAGGTGTTATTTGACCACTGAGGGGACAGGAATCATTACTTTGGCATCATGGAAAAGATATTGTGGCTGAATTAGAATTCCAGATTCTGGGCTGTTAATAAGATGGTCATTCATTCACTTAAGGCTTTGGCCTTATTTGTCTGCAATGATAGTCACCGATATATGTTCTCAAGTCCTCAACATACAGCAAGTGTGAACTGAAATGTGCAGAAGTGTAAAGCACACTTTCTAAACACAGATGTCTAAGACATCATATGAAAAAAAAGAACATAAAAAATTCTTATTAGTAGTTGTTTATATTGAGTACAGGTGAATGTTTTGAATATAGTGAACTAAATATAATATAAAAATTTATTTTCCCTACTTCTTTTAATCTTTTTTTAAAAATTTATTTATTTATGCATACCAGAACTGGGATATGGGCCAGAGGTGCAGGGGCGGTGAGAGGATTCACCAGAGTCAGAGTGGGGAGAAGAACAGGCAGATGGACTGAAATACACTGCTGAGGGGAGCAGCGGGTGAGACAGGAGAGGTCTGCTGTGCCATATGTGGTGATGGTTGGCAGAGGTATCCACATGGTACTAGTGCTGAGACTAAATGCCTAGATCACCAGAGAGGCCCTCTAAGATCATTTCTATTCATTTGTTTGAACTAAACATTTCTCCCCTCTTTATAGTAAACTAGTGTAATAAGTAAATGAGACTATTTGAATTTCTTAACTGCATGAGAACTTTATTAGCTTTTATTATATTTTTTCCAAAATACAACTCAGAAAAAAATCATCTCTGTCATAACTGGTACTTATTAAACCAGAGGAGTTTTCCATTGACACAGCTTTATGCCAACCCAAGTTCAGGCACACGGTGGCTTTGGGAGAACAGCAGCCTGAGGGTCTTCCATTGAATCAGCTCAATGGGCTGGTTGAGTTTTCCTTCTTCTCTGGACCAGCGCCTAAGCCCCAGCAAAGGCCCTACCAGGTGATCCATGGGTCTCTGCCCAATAGAGAAGTTTCATTTTGGACGATGAGGCAAAGGGCCAAAAGGTGTCATCTTTTGCGGTGAGTCTCAGCCCTGCCCACAGCCATCACCCTGAAAAAAAGCTGCAGAAAAAAAACCAGAAGCACAGACTGCATTAAGAAGAAGCTGAGAGTAGAAGGAGAAGCAGACAGAGAAGGAGGAAGAACCAAAAGGAAGTCAAGTCATAAGTAGAGTCGAGAACAGCCCTTGTCCACGTGGAGGGTAAAGCAAAATGGCCTGGCCAGTAGGGCCACCTCTGAGGAGCTGTTGTTCCAGGTCTCTGTGACGCCTGACTGTGCTGCTGCGGTTCTTTTCTTTGTGCAGTATTTAATGTATGAGTTTCCCTACAGTATGTCTAGGAGTTTTATGTGCTACATTAATTTTTTTTTGTATTGAAAAGCATTGTCTTCAGCTTTATCGAGGGTCAGATGTATAAAATTATGGTTTGATATATGTACACATTACATTATGATCTGTACCAAGAATCTAGTTTCAGGACCTCCCTGGTGGCCTAGGGGTTAAGTCTCAGCGCTACCACCAACACAGGCCTGAGTTTGATTCCTGGCCTGGGAGATGACCCACATATGGCACAGTAGACCTCCTGTCTTGCCCACTGCTTCCCTCCAGCAGTGTATTCAGTAAATCTACCTGTCCCGTTCCTCACTCTGTCTCTTGTGAATCCTCTGACTCCCCACACCTCTGGCCTGTATCCCAGTTCTTGTATTTGTTAATAAAATCTTAAATAAATAAATATCATAAACATAATCCAGTTTCCATTTACCAACAAATAATTGACCCCTTTACCATTTTACTTTCCTTCTGCTCTGATAAATGCCATGTTGTTGTCAGAATGAAGAGTTTATTTGTGTTTCATTTGTTTGCTTTACTTCCTTATCTTCCACACAGTGAAGACATTGTATTTGTCTTATAGCCTGACATTTCACTAAGTATAATTCACTTCAGTTCTATGCATGTTGTGGAAATTTTCAACATTTTTAACAGCTGTGTAGTACTCCACAGTGCATCTATAACACATCTTTACCCACTCACTGGGTGCTTAGGCTGTGAAAAAAAAATCATGTTTTGAAACACACCTCCTCCCAATTTCACATTTACATAAACTACTATCAAGATTCCTTTTAAGATGGACTATTCCTCCAAAAGCCACCGTGGGTTAGTAGTGGGTGTGGTGTAAAGCATATGTGCATTGAGTAAAGCTCCTCTACTTTAATTATAGGTGTCAGTAATGATACTGGTGATTTTTTCTAAATTGTATTTTGGAAAAACATAATAAAAGCTAGTAAAATGCTCAGATACTTAAGAAATTCAAATAGTCTATTATTTACTTATTATACTTGGTTAGTATAAAGAGGGGAGAAATTTTTAGTTCACACAAGTTTAAAAAATGACCTTACATAAGTAATGGGAACCTAATTAGAGACATTACATAAATGTGGGAAATACTTTATTATTAGTATGGACAAATTCATCTTGGAATTATCATCTCTAGCAGTGTCACCTGAAATTTAAGTCAGGCAACAGAGAAAAAGTGTTTCTTTGAAAGTGTTGCCTATATAGAAAATACCATGGTTGCTTGATCATGTCAAGATAGAGCCTTTAGTTAATCCCTCTCTTACTCTCCCAGTCAGACTGGAAAGTAGGGAGCTGCCGCCTTCCTATTCCTCCTCCTCACCTGGCTGCCCCACCCTTTTTTTTTTTTTTAAGATTTACCTATTTGTGCATAAAGAACTGGGGTGCAGGCCAGAGTTGCAGGGGCGGTGAGAAGATTCACCAGAGACAGGCTGGGGACCAGAACAGGCAGATGGACGAAGTACACTGCTGAGGGGAGCAGCGGGTGGGTCAGGAGAGGTCTGCCGCGCCATGTGGTCACCTCCGGGGCAGGCGGGGATGGAACTCATGAGGAAGTGGCTTTAGCTTCCTAGTGCTGTGCTTTAACCCGCTGCGCCACCAGGGAGGGCCTGTCATGGCAGGATTTTTACATTGCGTATTTTTACAATGTTGGAGTTGATTAAAATGAATCTGTTCTACATTTTGCGGGGGTAGAGTGGGGAATGGGATCAAAACCGAGGGTGGGGGAGGTAAAGGGAGGTGCACGGGACTATGATGATGGCACAAGGGTGACTTGGTGATGGGAAACCCCGGGGATTACAATTGAGATGGAAAAAAAAAAGTACAAAATGATGTAAAAAATAAACTGTTACAAAATTTTAAAAAAGCACCAAAAAAAAAAAAAAACAAAAAAACAAAAAACTAACCAACCAACAAACAAAAAATGAATCTGTTCTTTGGTAAGTAGAAAAAACTTTAAAGATAATATTTAAATCCAATGCATCCTACTTATTACTTGATTCTTCTAGTCCCCCTTGTCATAGAAAACAAGCTCTCATGAATTTTGCCAATTATATTTCAAAAATAACCATCAAGTTACTTTCCTGAATACAAAAATTTCTGGAATTAACCCACATTATATAAAAAAAGAAAATGTGCTGTCCCCTTAATATCTGACACCAATTTCCCCCCCATCCTTGTATCATATCACTAAGACGAAATTATTCATCCTTTCCCATTACTATCTTCCCTCTTTTTCATGCCCAGACCCTAACTTTGGCATCATACCTGCCTGTCATA